AAAGAACATGAAGAAACATTTCTCCAAAGATAATATTTTAATGTCCAATAAGCACATTAAAAAGTGTTCAACATCGCTAGTCACTAGGAAAATGCAAATTAATCCATAATGAGATGTCTCTTTCTACCCACTAGAATAACTACAACCAAGCAGACACATAACACCAAGTGCTGGAGAGGATGTGCAGAACAGAACCCTCTTACACTGCCAGTGGGAATGTAAAATGGTACAGCTACTTTTTTGGAAGATAGCATGGCAGTTTCTCAAAATGTTAAAAATAAAATTGGCTTCTCTAGCAGAACTGCAAGGGGCTCAAGACAAAAATCATAATAAAATAAGATAAAGCCAAATTGCCTTAAAGTCAGCAACTTTACTTCTATGTATCAAACCAGGAAAAATGAAAATGTTGTTCACACAAAGACTTGTAGGTGAATGTTCATAACAACACCACTCTCAAGAACCAAAAAGTGGAGACAAGCCAAATGTCCATCAACTGACGAAGGAATTCAAATGTGGGGAATACAAAGGAATACTATGCAGCAATCAAAAATGGGTTCTGAGGCATGCTACCGCAGTGGTCAACCTCAACAATGCAATGCTTCATGAAAGAAGCCAGATGCAAAAGAACACACATTGCATGATTTTGTTTATATGAAAGGTCCAGAACAGCCTAATATAGAGATAGAAAGCAGCTTACTGGTTGACTAGGGCTGGGAATGAGACTGAAAAGTGACTCTGATGAGCACAAGTTTCTTTCTGGGATGATGAAATGCTCTTAAACTAGATTTTGGTGATCGTTACATAATTCTGTAAATATACTAAAAATCATTGAATTGGACCAAGCACAGTGGCTCACACCTGTAATCCCAACACTTTGGGAGGCCACGAAAAGAAGATCACTTGAGCCCCAGGAGTTCAAGAACAGCCTGGAAAACATAGAGACTCCATCTCTACAAATAATTTAAACACTTAAACAGGTGTGGTGGCACAAGTCTGTAGTTGCAGGTACTCAGGAAGCTGAGGCAGGAGGATCACCTGATCCCAAGAGGTTGAGGCTGCCATGAGCCATGATGGCACCACTGCACTCCAGCCTTGGTATCAGAGTGATAACCCTGTCTCTCTCTCTCTCTCTCTCTCCCTCTCTCTCTCTCTCTCTCTCTCTCTCTCACACACACACACACACACACACATTGTACACTTAAAATGGGTAAATTTTAGTATGTAAATGACACCTCTATAAAGCTGTTAATTTTTTAATTTTTTTTTTTTGAGACAAGAGTTTTGCTGTTTTTGCCCAGGCTGGAGTGCAGTGACACAATCTCAGCTCACCATGTCTGCCTCCCAGGTTCAAGCGATTCTCCTGCCTCAGCATCCCAAGTTCCCGCCATGATGCCTGGCTAATATTTTGTATTTTTAGTACAGATGGGGTTTCACCAGGTTGTCCAGGCTGGTCTGAAAGTCGTGACCTCAGGTGATCCACCCATCTCGATCTCCCAAAGTGCTGGGATTACGGGTATGAGCCAGGCAGTTTTTTAAGTTTTAAAATTATACTATTTACCCCTAGCATCAAGATTGTAGTCTCAAAATACCATTGCCCAATGAAAGAAAACAAGCCTTCCTGGAGAAAGTGCTGATTCCAGGTCTAGGCCAGAAATGTGTAAGGAGCCTGGAACATATTGTCACTCTGGATAGCAAAGAATCCATCAAAGATCATTAGGATGATTTCAACATGTCTGAAGGGCCAATCTGAAGGGACTCCTTCTAACCAAACAAAAGACATTTTGCACATTAATAAGCCTCATAGTTGCAGTGAATTGAGATATATCAGATGTGTTTGAATGTCTGCATTCATAATGATCCTTTTGGAAAAATAAAAGTGGACTGGCACAGTTCCTCATGCCTGTAATTTCAACACTCTGGGAGGCTGGGTTAGGAAGATCCCTTCATCCAGGAGTTCAAGACCAGCCTGTGCAACACAGGGGGACTTTGTCTCTACAAAACGTTTTTAAAATTACTCAGGCATGAGGGCCCATGTCTTTGGTCCCAGCTACTCAGGAAGCTGAGATGGGAGGGTCACCTGAGCCTAGAAGTTTGAGGCTGTAGTGGCATGACTGCTTCTCTGCATACCAGCCTGGGCAACAGAGCTAGACCCTCCCTGTCTACATACATTAATTAATAGAAGTGGTCACCATTGAAGGATATAAATAAAACAGCCTATCATTTTGAAAAATGATAAACAGAAGAAATCAAGCCACGAACTGGCGTTTTCTATATAAATTGTACAAGTGAGTAACACAGTTTATAAGAAGCAGCATCTCTTTTTTATATTTACATTATTTTTTTCTTCATGCACGGCCCTTCTTAGGGTAGCAGTATCTCTTTCTGGAAGTATGACAGCTCATAAATGAAGAAGGAATGATACAACAATACCTTCATTGTTTGATCCATAATTGATCAATGGCCATTAACATCACTAATTAAAAAAGAAAAGATGTCCAGAGAGTACACACCTCCTCCCAGAAGAAACTAGCACAGTATTTTTTTCCTGACCCTCAATTCCAACCTGAATCTGACCAAGTCTTCAGATCAAACTACTAATTTATAAAAACTAAAAGTGACAAGGCGCAGTGGCTCACACCTGTAATCCAAGCACTTTGGAGGCCAAGGCGGGCGGATCACCTGAGGTCGGGAGTTCAAGACCAGCCTGACCAACATCGTGAAACCCCATCTTTAAAAAAATTAATTAATTAATTAAAAAAAAAAACTAGAACAAAGTGAAGAGCAAGTTAACCAACATCACAAGATACAGTTAACACAATTCACAGTAAGGGAAACAACATAATGAGAATACACTTAGCATAATCCAAACTATGGGGAAATGGCCTGATTTATTCAATAAATGAACCACAATGGACAGCAAAGAGATCAAAGTGGGAAGCTCTCAGGATCAAAAAAAAAAAACCTAAGAGGTGAATGAAACAATCTCAAAGAGAGACTTTGTTTGGATCCTGATTCAAACCATAAATACATGAAATGACTGGAAATTTGGAGCTAGCAGGAGAGTTGACAGTGATAAAGAGCAGTGGTGTGAGAAGGTTGGTTGGTGATGGTATTGGGATTACATTTTTTAAAGAGTTCTTGTCTCCGGGCACAGCGGGTCACACCTATAATCTCAGTGGTGTGCGAGGTCAAGGCGGGAAGATCCTTTGAATCCAGGAATTCTAGACCAGCCCGGACAACATAGCAAGACCCTGTCTCTACTAAAATACAAATAAACAAAATTAGCTGGGCATGGTGCTGTGAGTCTGTAGTTGCAGCTACTCAGGAAGCTGAGGCAGGAGAGGCCACAGTGAACCAAGATCGTGCCACTGAACTCCAACCTGGGTGACAGAGACCTTGTCTTGAAAGAACAAACAAGAATTGTATCTTTTACAGACGTATACCAAGACATTCAGGGGGGAAATTATATGATGCATGGGATTTGCTATAAAATCATGAGAGGAAGAGTAGAAGCATATAGGAGTGTACATGGAATGAGATTGGCCATGAGATAACAAATATCTGAATCTGCGGCTGAGTAGGTGAAAGCTCACTACACTAGCCTCTTGCTCAAAAAGCTCTAGATTAGAATGTTTGTCTAAAAATCCACTTCATGGATTTGTAACAAGCATTGAATAAGATCACATACACAGAGTGCTTTATCACCATGGCTTGCAGGTAGTCAGCACACAAACATTGTTTTTAGTTTTGTGTAGTCCCTGTCCATTAATCACACCAAAAAAGGTATGTTGTTCACACCAAGAGCTCTGGCCCATGGACCTTTGTCCACTTGGTGGTAATCTATTGGAATTTGAGGTTTAGAATGAGGAAATGCCAGCCTTCAAAGCCCAGGCCTACTATGAAATAGCAAAGCCAGCAGTCCCACATGCCTTCGTAGCACATCTAGTAAGTAGGACCACTTTTCTCTTACCTTGTAGGCACACTTGTTCATTCACTCACTATTTTTTACTCATTTATTATATGCCATGTATTGGGTGCTACAATTCTGCCTCAGCAGATGTGAAACCACATCCTGTTTGGGGTCTGGGATGGAAAGGAAGAGACAGAGGCCGGGTCTTGTGTCCAAGCTCTTTTCCGGGCTCAGGCATCTATTGAGAGGCATCTATTCCAGGATATCAGCCCTCCCACAGAAACCTTGGGTCAGGACATCTTGAGAGTCAGGGGAGTTCATGTTTTGAGGGGTCTAGAGCATGATCTGGAGGTCTGGAGTGTGAAGACATCTCTGGCCCTGAGGCCTCAGGTACGTTTCTGCCCAGGGTGCATCACACAGCAGTGTGGTGACTGGAAGGTCACATGCCTTTAGGAGAATTTCTTCCACCTGTGAAGCACAGGCCACAGTTCCTGCTCTGCCCACCCTCAGGGCTGGTGTGGGCATCACAGATGATCACATGTACTGTCCATGCACTGTAAAGCCTCTCACACAGGCAAATGTAGAAAAGCCAACCTCCACCCTCCCCTGCCCTGGAGCATCCATGTCCCCTCTCTGGTCACCCACTGTCAAGTGCGTAGCTTCTTCTCCCAGGCATTTAATGATGGAGGAATCATGGAGCATTGAAGAATCAGCCACTTTTTCTAAAGCTTTAACTCTGTTCAATGATCTTTGGCCTCATCCTGCTAACCTGTCAGCCCTATTAAAGTGTTTAGATGGCAGTGCAGAGAACTGGAGGCTGAGGGGTTGCAGGACGTTCCCTGGTTCTCGTGGCTTTAAGTGGGACTGAGCCCAGGCCCTCAGGTCCCAGCCCCCATGCTCAGTCACTCTGCTCTGCCTTTCTGGACCGTCTGATCATAAAGGTATTTTCCACACAACCTTCCTCTTGGTGTTTCAAGTGCACGTGAAAACCCAAGATCTTCCGAAAGCCCAGCGTTGGCTCAGAGGCTGTCGGGAAGTCAGTGCAGTGGGATCCATGGTTTGAGCTCTGCATAAATTATGGTCCGTTTCCTCTGGTCTTCTGCCAACAAGATGTCAGCAGTTCTCCTTACTGTGAGTGCATTTCCCAGGATCTTAGCTGATGAATTTGAGGAGAAAAGCATTTTCCTCCTTCAAGAATCTATACAGCCCCAGACCAGCAGCAAGTCAAGAAGAGGCCCCCAACCAAGCACAGGTGCACCTGCAGACGGTGAGCTGATGGCACTGAGGATACTCAGCCCTTATGTTGATTCAAGAATAACAATTGCAGGTTTGTTCCAAAGTTGCATATTTAAAATAAATCAATAAAAATGCTAAGCCATATTGTTAGTCATGTGAAAAAAATTTAATTTACTGTTCAATCAGTAGTGTTTCAACCACAGGAGGATACACTCACAGCTCAGCTTTGGTTCACATTTAATAGTGAAACACATCTGAAGCTCCTGATGAGACATTAACTGATTGTTAAATATTTGCTGCAATAGATCTGCACCTAAAATAGTGTTGCCAAATGACTCTTTAATTAATAGACGTTATTATTTGGATAACTTTTACATTAGCAAAAAATAGAACAGATATTGAAGTTAGCACAGGCCTTTTTCCTCCATTTCCCCCATAATTGACGTATCAGAATGGTGCATTTGTCATAGTTAATGAACCAATATTTACACACTATTAACTTATGTATTAGCATTATTATAACTTCCTATTTTGCATTTTCATGTTTTTTTTTTTTTTTTAGATTTGCAATGTCTTGCTCCACCTTGCATGCACTCATTGTTCTGCTGCTGACAACCCCCTGTGCTTCACCTGTTATTCTTACTGTCTGTTCCTTGGAAACAGTTGTTTTTTTTTTTGTTTTTTTTTTTAAGACCAATCTCACTCTGTTACCCAGGCTGGAGTGCAGTGGCACGATCTCGGCTCCCTGCAACCTCTGCCTCCCAGGTTCAAGTGATTCTCGTGCCTCAGCCTCTCAAGTGGCTGGGATTACAGGTGCCCCCCCACCACACTTTTAGTAGAGACAGGCTTTCCCTGTGTTGGCCAGGCTGGCCTCTGACTCCTGACCTTGAGTGATGTGCCCACCTCGGCCTTCCAGAGTGCTGGGATTACAGGCATGAGCCACCACACCCAGCTGGAAACAGCTGATTTGTTAAATGTCTCTAGAGTTTGCCTTTTTACAAAATGACACCTAGCTTGAATCATAGAGTATGTAGCTTCTTCAATAGACATTAAAGATCATGCCATGTTGGTCCATGGTGCCAGCACCTTGCTCTGAAACATCCCAGCCTCCAGAACTGAGAAAACACTGCATTTATACCACCCAGCCCATGGTATTTGGGTTACCTTTTCTTTTCTGTGGGCAGGGTCTCACTGTGTTGCCCAGGGTGGAGCACAGTGGTGTGATCTGAGTTCATTGCAGCCTTGACCTTCTGAGCTCAAGTGATCCTCCCATCTCAGCTGGGACCACAGGTACACATCACCATGCCAGGCAAGTTTTCTCTATATTTTTGTAGAGATGGGGGTCACACTATGTTGCCTAGGCAGTTCTGGATCTCCTGGCCTCAAGTAATGTTGGGATTCACTCAGGGTGGCTGGCAAGATATTAAGGGAAATATCAGGGAAAGTTATAAGATATAGACTCAAACATTTTGGAAGGCAAAAAGCTTTTCATAACTTGTAATAATGGAATAGGCTGAAGGCAGCCAGTTCTTACCTTAGAGCATGAGGTCATGGGTAAAAATTAGGGGTAATAGAAGCTTCCCCAGTTAAGTCTGTTCACCCCACCTTCCTTTGTCTCTAACTCCCTTGTTTACTCATGTGGTCTGAAAACTAACCTTTGAGCCAATGGCCCTCTGGGGGAAGGTCAAAGGGAGATTACCCCTTAATGGTGTTTGCTCTGGGCCCTGGAACCAAATCTTTAACGTGTTAATTATCCACAAGCATGTTGACTTAGAACTTCTGTCATTAAATATAAACTGAATAAATGCTAGAAGGGACAGTGATTGAAGGCTTGGGTAGCTCAATGGCCCTCTGAGAGCAGCTGACTTGTTCATGGTACTTTGTGTGTGGAGGGTATTTATTCATCTGTCACAAAGTCAGGGTTTGCAAGCCAGGTCCCCACAGGTGGGGATCAACATCTCAAAGCAATCCACCTGCCTCGGCCTCCTAAGGTACTAGGGTAAGAGGCGGGAGCCTCCTCGCCCAGCCAGCCTTGTTCTAGCAGCCTGCACTGACCCTGGCTGACTCTTCCAGATGACACTGGTTGGAGAGGGCAGTCGGGAGGGGCAGTATCAGGCTTTAAGCTGTGTGAAAGGGGAAGTTTTGCCCAGCAGCAAATTCTCTCTGGATTAAGAGTGTGGTGATTGGCAGCCACAGTGAACTAGAGAGACACGTCCTCCAGGGAAAGCCTGCACCTCCTCCAAGGTGTCTGTGCTGGCTTCTGGGGCCTTTGACCACTGCTTTCCATCTGGGTACTCTGTGTTCACAGGGGGAGCAAAAGACCTGAGAAACTCCACACAGCATGACTGGTCCTCATGGTCTCTTCTCTCCTGTAATTGTAGGTGACCTCAGGAAAACAGCCTGGATTCTGCAATCACTGACTCACTGATGAAAAATCCAGATGAAAAGAAAGGCGGGGCCTTCCTACTGCCTTCAGTCTGGAGATCTGATTCCAGCTTCCCACTGGGCACAAGGCGGGGTGGTGGAAGGAGCGGTTTTTACAGGTGAAGAACCCTGGCACCATTGTACAGTCCCTGGAGGAGCCATGTCCCTCTAGGTGGGTGGGTTTGTGTGCATGGAACTCTGGGGGGGGGGTCTTCATGGGTGTCATGCGGTGTGACTGAGTGTGTGTGAGAGTGTGTGTGGGAGTGTGTCTCCTCAGGAGATGTGTCCCACCTACACAGCACAGGTGCCACATCAATGTTCTCTAGGGGAACCCCACTATCACTGTGTGCTTTCCAAACATTTACACATTCATGGCTCACCACAGCCTTCCCCATGGACTCACTTCCCAGCCCCATGCCTCAGAAAATGAGGCACAGAGAATGACCCACGCTCCTGAGCTTTTCTGTGAAAGAGATGCAAGTGAGCGAGGGGTGGGGCCCGGTGTGGAAGCTTAGGACCACTGGGTGGCATTCCTCTCTCAGCAGCGGGCTCCTCGGCCACAGGGCAGGGGTGATCCAGCCCCATGCATATGCCTGGAAGTACCTGGGCATGCAGAGTTCCAAGACACCACCCACGGTTAAAAGGCGGCCCCAGTGCTCACATAGCCCAGGTCATCTGTGCATATGTCACAGATTTTCACCGAGCCATTAGCCTAAAAAGTCCAAGTCATGGAAACAGAGTAGAAGGGTGGTGTTGGAGAGTGAAGAACATGGAGAGCTGGTGAAGGGTACCAAGTTTCAGTTATGCAATGAGTACGTTTTGGAGACCTGGCACACAACATGGTGGCCGTAGTTGATAGTGATGAACTGCACACTCGGAATCTTCTGAGAAAGCGCACCTGGAATATTCTCGCCACACACACAAATGCAACCATGATCAGCCTGGCTGAAGTGCCCCAGGATTGCAGAGTTAGAGCGCCAGCTCCTGGCCCACACCTCCCCCTGTAAGGAGCTGCCCTTCTGGCCTGTGTGAGCAGGTCCAGGGAGATGTCAGGAAGATACTGGCAGTTTAGTGGCAGTTAAACATGGCAGGAGAGGTCAGGGGACTTTCTTGTTGCATCACAGTGTAGAGTTGGGCACATGGGGACACAGAGAATTTCCTGATGATTTAGGTGGCCTCTTGCTCCATAGCTGAGGACTCTGAGCCTCAGCCCAGTCTTGCTTCTCTTTTCCAAGCCTCTTCTACCCAGGAGGATGACCCAGCAGCAGCGGAGCCCATGCGGCAAACCCACCATGCCATGCATGGCAGGGCTGCGTCCATCTCAAGCCAGGGCCCCGAGTCATCCATAGGCAACACCGTCATAGCACGGCCAGCCAGCCCCTCTGTCCTCCTGGCCTCCCTGAGAGGCTGCTGGGGGAAGTCCCACCCCACAGCAAGGAAGGAGTGCCTGTCTTTGTCCAAAATTGGGGTGATGCTTTGTTGATGTATTTCATTTCAAATTGGCTCATGTATGAAAATCTGGCAATATACATAACATGTGATACTGTTTCCTGGCAAGACAGGGTCAGTCACGAATGGCAGCCTCAGCTCATAAACAAACCAGGAGAGAGCCTGCCCTCAGCACCTGTACTTCCTCCTTCTGGGACTAAGAATTTCCCAATTGCCAGCCAAAATAGACTCAGGAGACCCACCCTCCAGGGAAAGCTCCTGCATGTCCTATGGGTGTTCTCACCCTCCCTGCGGGGCTTTGACTGGACTACAGTTTCCCCTCTGTTTTTCTAAAGCAACCTGTTCTGTAATTACGATACAGATGTGCTGGGAACAGAAGAGTGTTGTCCCTTTAAATGATATGAAACAGGGGAAGGGAAGGGCTGGGTAGAGGAGGGTGAGGTCCCTGGTAGGGGTCCACCCCCAAGGAACTAAGTGAGGGCAAGCACTCCTGCCTTCGTGCCCAAATGTTGTATTTCCCATGACCACCCTGGCCCACCATGTTGAGAGAAGCATATCAGTGGAGCAACACAGGTAGCTGGACATTGAGAAGGATGCCCTGTCAGGCACCAGCACGCGGGCAGGCCATGGGCAGAAGCAGAATGACTTGGAGTTTGGCCAGAGTGGTCGAAGAAAAGTCCCACCGCTGGGGAAGGGTTGGGCCACCAATGTCCCACCTCCAGGGGAAAGCCATCTCCCTGCTGGCTTCCCGATCTGCTGAGAGCTTCTCCCACTCAATAAAACCTTGCACTCATTCTCCAAGCCCACGTGTGATCCGATCCTTCCCTACACCAAGGCAAGAAACCCTGGGATTGAGAAAGCCCTGTG